CTAAAATTCATGTCCTCACTATTCTATCTAATTCTCTCCCCAATTCCACTGCTGATATGAAGGTTTTTCAATTGTCATCCTCACATAACTGCAATCCTTTTTTTAATAGCTGCAGATTTATTCTCCAGATTATGTGCCCTTCCCTCGGCTAGATTCGCCCGTGTAGCCGGTAAGATTGCCGTGTTTTTCTTCTTCTTTGTTCATTTCATTATTTCGGTTATTATTATTTTATATTTTTGGTGACTATTTGTTGTTATTGTTTTATATGGGTCATTTATGTAAAACAAGATTGTTTTCTGGCAGCTCAAAGTGTTGGGAAAGATGTCGTTCTCGAAAAAATTCTCAGTCTGAGTTCAATCCTATTTTATTTTATTTTATGAGTATTTTTTCTTAGAATTCTATGTGGCTCCACTTAGTTAAACAATTTGGCAGCTCAAATATTGGGGGGAATTCAGTTCTTAAAGAGTGCAAATTCCTCTTTATTATTGTTACCATAGTCAAAAAGAGTGAAAATTCCTCTCTTTTTTCAGTATAAATAATGAAAGTTTATGTGGATTGATTTCGTGAAGGAAGAATATTGTTGCAGCTCGGGTAGTGGAAGATTCAGTTTTTAAGAGCGCAATGTTAATCTGGCTTCTGCTTTTAGTTGTCACATGCAAGATCATAGGTTTCTGTACTCGACCGTATACAATTTTACTATGTGTTTAACTGTGTGTGACGATATGTAGTAGAATTGTGGAGTCGTTCATATAGTACTGGAAGTTGTCAAAGTCTAACTTTATATCCAAATGAAAGAGGAAAAGAATTGCTATTTCTGGTTTGACATGAAAAGTAGAGTATTGAATAAGCGAATGAAGTTGCGAATGATTATACTTGGTTGCATGCACCAAATGATTATTTTCTTGGATAATATATTGTATTAACCATGATGTATCCATAAGTTTAAGTTTATTGTTAAAACACTTATGCGTTTTTTCCCGTGTTGTTTGTTTTTGTTCAAATCTAAAGAAGTCTTAAATTCTAAAGTTTAATGTTAAAATGAAGATAAAAATCTTGCTAATTCCTTTTCTTTTAAGGTGTTTTAGAAGTTATGACTTGTGAGTTTCATCTATTCTATTATTCATTACTTTGAAAACACTTGATTACTGATTTGCACCTTTATTATGTATTTGGGGGCAAAAAGAAACTGAGAATTTTTTTTTTGCTTGCAATATCTTAAGTAGGAGGAACGAATTTTTAAAAATCAAACAAGGGAAGAATAGGAAAAAAAGCCACCAAAACAAAATCACAAATAATCCAAAATAGAAAGACAACTTTCAGGATATCACTAGAGGTTTTCTTGCGCCGGATAAAACTGCTTGCAAATATAAAGATATCCATGAAGCATAAGCACTCTCAGTAATAAAAGGCAATTGTGCTTGTTTTTCTTTATTATGTAAACTATTTTAGCATAATTGAGGGTGACAATATTTTTTGTATGTTTATTCAGATCGACAGTGGGTTGAACAGAAACCTGTGAACTTAAAACTTAAATGTGTAGCCTAACTATATGTGGACTTTGCTATTTAAGGCTTTGAGATATTACAAGTCTTGCTTTGATTATCTGCTTTCTGAAATGACCAAGAAGGTACGTCATTATTTTATTATTTAGTGGAACTACTTTAGACTATGATATTTTTTATCTGGAGATTTATCTTATTGCACTTAATGTGGTAGGTAAGGTTAATAATCCTGACTCAGAGAGAATGACTATTCACGATAAATGGACAATTTTCAGTAAAAGTATCATGGTAAGGTTCGTATACATTCTTTTTATTCATCTCATACAGTCTTTCATCAAGCACCATGTACCATTACAGAGATTTTAGGACATTGTGTATGGTGAAGAACTTTGAACAGTTCTTATTTATACATCGATTGGTCAAATTAAGTTTGGCTGCCATTTTATTTGTAATTCTTACTGAATTTCTTTCCTATCAGGCGATCCCCAATGCCCTGTTTACTAACTAATGCAAAAAGGTGTGATATGTCCTTCAAAGGTGTATTACTAAAGGTACTTTTGTAACACTTCATTTTGTATATCTGGAATATATTTAGAAGACGAGGTATACTGGTGAAAAAAACAAAGTTGGTTTACAGAAACTTTGGTTGGATGATCGACTTTTCTATGTAGAAAATATTCCATAGAGATCCTATAGATTCTAAGATTACGCAGACGTATTCAGGTTACTCAACAAGAGCGAGCTACATTAGACTTGACAAATGCCTAAGTATCTAATCATTTATTTTATTATGCCAGCTTTTGTTGTGATAAAAAGGAATAATTTCCTAAGGAGTGTGTATATTTTTAGCTTCTAATAAGACAACAATGTATGTATGGTTCTAAGGAACTTATGGTGCTGCTACATTATATTTCATTTTATTTCATCCCTTGCGATTAGCTTATTACAAGAAGATCAATACGGGAGTCGATATACTCAGCTAATAATAGGATCTAATCATTTGTAATATCAAATCTTAAAATACAAAAATTAGTGCTTGCATTCGATTGTATTTTCTTCAATTGCAGTATTCACATACTTTATATCCAGATAATATTCCAAATTGCAAAAAAATTAATCACTTCAAAGTGTAAATGTTGGGCCCGTGCTAGCACGGGTTATACCCATCTAGTAGAAAGTATAAGCCATGATCGGTCTACAACCAATACTCACAAGTAAAAATACCAGGAGAAAGAGCACATATGTAGGCAAACTTAAGTTGCTATAGTTATGAACTTAACTGATTTTGATTGAAGTTGCTCTGAATGTTAAGCTATTACATTCCTTCGTCCCAATTTTTTATGTGACAATTTCTAGAGCCAAACAAATTGATCTTTGACCGCAATTTTTTGATAAGCTTTTTAAAGTTTTTGAATTATTAATTATAATGACTTATAGTATCGAAAAACTTAAAGATTCTATATTTAGATTACGGTCAAAATTAAAAAGCTTGAATCTTGAAAGATGCAAAATATCATATAAATTGAGACAAAGAGAGTATTAGCTTTCATCGTTAGGACTAAATACGAATTTATTACAAGGAAAGATTAATATTTCTAAGTTGGGTAAATTTCGAACAAGAAAAAATTTATAGTATAAAACAAAACTTTGATATTTGTGTGACTATAAATTATCTAATTAAAGATAAAAATAAGAATGTTAATGTTAAACCTTTTTAAATATAGAAGAGTAATATTATTTTTATAATAAAGTAAAAAATAAAAGTATGTCACATAATTTAACTGACAAATAAAAGCTAGTAGTTAAAATAAAAGGTGCTATTTGTACATCAACGATTTTTACAGTAACGATTTTTATCAAATAAATTAAGGAAATTTTACAATGTATACACCCTATTTATTATAAACCAAAATTATTTTAAAATGTTATTTTCTATAGCTATCTTTTATAGTAAAATAGGTATTTATGGTATATACTACAATTGAGGGATGCAATACGCTATTTATGATTTTCCTCTCTCTTTCTTTCAATTAACACACGATTCTCTCGCAGAATATTTCTTCTTTCTCTCTCTTCTGAGACAATATGTTGCGTTTCACTCTCTTCAAATCTCATGTTATCTAATGTGCAACTACATGGAAGGCATTCTTATGGAAGCTACATATCGGAGTTTCTCCCTTTTCCCTACCTTTTCTAGCTATTTTATGTCTTGAAACTTCCTTCAGATGAGATAATTTGTAACAAAGAGTTTTTTTTGCTGTTTGATTATTGCAAATGGCCTCTCACATATTTCTTTCTAATCAATGTGGTCTCTCTCTCCTCTCTCGTCGCTATGAGGCTAGGGCTACTACGCGGGGAGCAAAAACGATGTGGGAATAATCCGGGTAGATCTAGCATGAGTACGGTAACATGAACGACGGATACTGCAATATTTTCTACGCCAGAGAAGATTTGAGGGTCAGGATTTTTATTCGTGTCCATTTTTTGTTTTAATATAATGTATACAATATTTTGCTTGGCCGGAAAACGCCATCTCCGACGAACTTTCTTCTCTTCTTTGCAATTTAGCAACATACAATGATCAAATACATTGTATTCTTTACAAATTCACTCAAACACATTGTATTTTTATATAAATATATTTTTGTTTTACATGTATTTATGTATTTTGAAGGTCTGTATTTTTTTAATACAGCTGAATACACCTGTATTCATGCATACTGTACATACAGTATGCATAAATACATGATATAAATATTGAAATACGCTGAATACAAACATTAAAATAGAACAAAATAGAAACAATGAGTACATTTAATTTTAAAATATAGTGAAATACAATAAAATATACTGAATACAAATAAAAATACAGTGAATACAACCGATAAAATATATTGAATATAACAGTAATAACATGTATTAGGAATAACTAAAATACTGTTAATACAAATACATTTGAATACACTGAATATAAAATAGTGAATACAGTAAATACAAACATTGAATCTAATGAATGCAAGAGTAAAAAAAAATATTGAAACATACTAAAACAAAAGTTAAATACAACAGTTATATACAACTGAAAAATCATTCTAATTAATTGGGTTGATAATGAGACATGTTAGAATTGATTTTGTTGAGTTATATTAGGAGTGTATCACGCTAATTGATATTATTTCCGTTATTAGACAGCTGGACAAACCTATTTTTAAGGTGATTGACGTTACTGTATTCATGAATACATGGAGCGAATACATGTGAATACATGCGCGTATATTTAGATTGCCCTGATTTTTAGACATTTTGTACTGCTGTATTCAAGCGCGAATACAGCGAATACACTACTATAATAACTAAATAGTAGTTATAGAAAGTAATTATGTATACGGTAGCCAGATGAAATTAATCCTCATAAATTAACGGCAACGAGTTGTAAACGTGAACGGGCCGGGCTGAAGAAGGCCCAGTCCAAATATGTGAGCAGCTCAGCCACACTGGGGTTAAACAAATAATTAATCACGAACTCGTCAAAGCTAGGGTTTAAGCTCGTTTCATCGAGAAATCTTGCCGACGACGAAACCATGTTTCCAGGATTGTTCATGCGTAAACCTGACAAAGCAGCTGCTCTCAAGCAGCTGAAGACTCACGTCGCCCTCTTCGGAGCTTGGGTCGCCGTAATTCGGGTCACCCCATATATCCTCCACTATTTTTCGGATCAGAAAGAAGAACTCCTCCTCGAGCTCTAAATCCCTATTATTTTTTGCACTTCTTTCTACTCAGGTAAATTTTTCTCTTCTAATCGAAATTATATACTCAATTAGTCTCAATATTATTAAGTGATCATGTCCGAATTGTAAGATTAGATACATTCACTCAGATACTCTGCCTTATAGACTTAGTCGCGGTTATTTAGTTCACTATCTGGAGTTCTATTCAGACTTGTGATTTTTTGTTGGGTCAACTTGATGATCGTGTTAACTGCTTATTTTCATGTATTTAGGATGATTTTTGTGGTTAATTGTAATATATTGACATAGGATTAGGGCTTATTTTGTTGCTTCCCCTATTAGCATCTGTTTTTCATAACTGAGAAATTAGTTGTTTCCAGATGGAAACTCAAGTGGATTAGGGCCCGTCTACCTTTTCCACTTAAATACCAGACTTGGTTAGGTCGCAGGATTCGAACTCGTGAAATGCGCCTCCAACACATCCACCGGTGTATTAACTTTGCCCGTTGAACCAAAGGCCTGGGACGCTTCCTAGATTAGCATCTTTTGCTAATGTTATCATTGCCCTTCATTCTTTTGATTTTCCATACTGTATTTATTGTGTGTCAATAAGAGTGGCTTATCCTGGGTTTTTTCTCTTAATGTCACCATGTGTCGGCATATCTTTTGGGGGCTGTAAGGCCGTTTGAATTATCTTCTGTACTAGAGTGTTCCAAGATTGTGAATTTCAGCTGAATAAGAAGTAGTTGGTAAGTTAGAGTGCTTGAGCTTTAGCAACAACGAGTTGGTTCATGGATGGATGGACATTTATGCTCCTTGCAAATTTCAAGAACCTCCTAATGTGATATTAAAATCTAAGCCACTAACGTAACTCATAAGTGCAAAATCTAGTTTCATTAGCTTGCTGAATCAATATGAAGAATGATATAGTTTTCATTGAAAGATAGCTTGGAGGCTCGTTTGATGCTGTGTTTAGTTATGTTAATGTGATTGAGCAATAATGGAATAGAATTGCTTTTTCATCCTAGTAAATCTTTTGTGGGTTGACAATCTTGCCTCTAATGTTATTCATATATCAAAATTTGAAATTAAGAAACACACGACTGTACCAAGGTCGTGGCGTCTCTTGTGTTTTTGGTGTTGTATGCAACGTAGGTTCTGGTGCATAAAGTAGTCGGATTGAGTTGTGTAAGTTGCCGAGCACCAATTATGAAATGATCTATGATTTGGAGTACTCTGGTTGAGGGTTAAGGAATAAAATTCTACCGGAAACTCCATGTATTTATTTTTTATGAGCTTTATATCTACTAGAATATGAAAGTAATCTTAAGCTCTTTACTAATAAATGCAAAAAGAAGCTTGTATGGTGATGGTCCCTATCGCCTGTGCATGAGTTTGGATTTCTTGGTTCTATTTGGTAGGTGATTAGATGAAGTTTGAAAATATGAATTTTACAATGCAAGTGGATCCAGTCGATTCTGTAGATGCAAAGTAAAGTACTAGGAATTGAATGACTTATATGTGTGTGAGTACGCTAAAGTTGATGAAGTAACATGTTTCATCATCTTTTCTTGAATCTTGTGAATATTACTGTTGTTCCAGGACTTTGTTCAACGGCAAAGGATGTGTGGCAGGCGCACATCGTGAGTTCGAATTTTGGGTGGTGAACAAAAGTCCGGTATCTAAATGGAGAAGAGTAGAGGGGCCTAGCCCCATTATCTACCGAGTTTTGAACCGTGGCACCAATGACCCTTGGGGATTTCTCGGTTGTAAAAAAAATTTAGTGTGGCTTTCGTACAAGTTCCTTAATCTTGATATGTTTAAGTTGCTTACTCCTAGTATATCAGTTGTTTATAATTTCAGTTTGGACTGGAATTCATGCATGTGCTCACATAGGTAATTACAGATTGGGATTGCTGTGTTGTTGCTCGAGTACAATTTCTGATGCAATTCCATTTTAGGCCCTTTCAAAGCTGTACCATTCTTCAGTTAATTGCCTGATTTAAATACAACTTAAGTTCCGTCTTTCTTTATATACACGTCTCTGATAATGTCCTTATCCTTTTGTCTTTGCCTTCTGCAGTTTCTCTAGAGGAAGGAATATTTGGAAGAAAAGTAGCTAGTGTTCTCTACACATCTGTTGACCCTCTTCTCAGTCATTTCTGTCTCTACATTTCATTTTCATTTGTCGATATGATTCTGAATTTGTCAGGTTGGCATATAATTGGGAATTGTATGGTTGTACCCTAGTTATTTGAGATAAAATTTGCTGCGGAAACTCTCTCTTGGTTTATTGACACAAAAGTCATATGTGTGAATTTGATGGCTTTCCCACCTAGATTAGATACCCATCTTCCCCAGCAATCCTTGCACTATGTTACTGAATGCATAAATGATCCCATAAGTGAGATTTAGCGTGGTTCTATCTGTAATGTTACCAATGCAATATGGCCACCAAATCGCCTCTTGTTATGTTTTTTCATCTGAAACTTTCTTTCCCAACAATTTCTGAACTCAATGCAGTTCTAAACAGCTTCTAATAATCGATTATCTAAGGCCTAACAGCTTCAGCAATTCAGCCATATCCATAACTGTTGTATTCCTATTGAATCTCTGTGGATTCACTTGTCTTGTCACCAAGTAATGCTTTTTGTTTTTTGACAGGAAAGAAACTTATCAGGACTTTAACATAATGTTGCTTGTCAAACTATGGATACTTGTCATACATTCGTTGAATTGGTACTGATAGTGGGTGTGAATAAGTTTTTGTCCAATATGAAAAACTACTCATTGGCACATGGTAGCATGTAGAACTAAATCGATAGGATAATACCTAGAAGCGATGATCAATTTAAGCCGAAGGGGTGGTCTCATCATTAACAATTGCAAGGGGTCAAGTCTTGGATGTTGAAAGAGTGTAATATGCAAGTGCAGCTATCAAGTTTCTTCTGCAGTTCATGACATTCTACGTTGAAAAAGCATTTTCAAGCATCACGAACGAATTCCCCGCCTAAACTTCTCTGATAAATGTTTAAAAATAAACCTTCTCTAATAAATGTGAAACTTTGGTATTGAATGGTCTTTTGATTTGTCAAAATCACCTAATAGAAAAGAAAGAATGAAGCAGATAAACAAATATTCATTATCAAACAATCACCATTGAAAACTCAGTTATAGAAATGTGGTTAATCTCTTTTTAGTTCTGAAGCATTCCCCCTTAACTAATTACATTAAGCAATATCAGAGATGATATATATCAAGGTAAGCACCAACTGCTGAAACAATTTATTTATGCAAAGCCAATGTTCATGAGTAGGTTGAGAGTGATAATAGAAAGATTACACAATGTCTGAATTAGTTAGAGTTCCATACTGTGAGTGATGTATTGCATTTTACAGTCTCATTTTAGCTGCCGGGCAGCTACTTCATAACATTCAGGGGTTTGGTTTGGTCATCTCCTCAGCCTCTCTGCCTTCTTAAATGCAGGGGTAAGGTCTGCGCACACTACCCTCCCCAGATCCCACTTGTGGGACTACACTGGGTGTGTTGTTGTTGTTGGTTTGGTCATCTCCTATTCTGTACTGTCTGGATCTGGCACCCCGTTTGTCAGCCAGCTCAATCTTTTAGATGATTGGATATGACAAGGATACACATCAAGTCATTTTGAATAATTGGGAAGAGGAAGACTATACAAGAATCATCAACCAGCAGGTAATAAACCAATTCATCTTCTCAGAGCCAACAGAACATTATGTCCTTCAAAGTTTTGGTAGATAACAGAAATGCTGGATTGGTTTTCTTATCATGGAATCTCCATGGCTAAATCACATTCTAATCTTCGGTTACTTTTCTGTCAAGCAGCTGGAAGTCTTCTCCAACTTTCACAGCATAGCTTCAGGAAACAGCTGTAAATTTTTCGAAAAGCCATCTTTATGGTGTTGGCAGTTTGTAAAGAAATAACATAAAAGATATTGGAGGAGCATTCATTTATTGTATGGAGCAGTAAAAGTAAAATCACTTGTTACTCGGATATAGCAGAATTTGACATTTCAAAAGTAAAAATCATCCTAGAAACACAAGAAAGCATTAGATAAATGCAACAACATTGACTTGTGTACCAAACGAATTTGTTACATGTCCCGCCCAACCCGTCCATTGTTCCCAATCTTAAAACATAGGAACACTTACTTTTGCAGCGCTCCGTTCTTAAACTCAAACCTCAGAGACTCATGCTTAGGCTATTCAGCTATTTAACTATGATGATGGTATTAAAGTATCTAAGCAGGTTATTCTGCTCTGTGAGAAAAGCAGGCTATGTTCTAAGCATTCCACAAATAGGAATAGGATAATAGGTAATAAAGCCTCAATGTAATTGGAGTGGTGAAACATAAAGCACATTGTGGGATATAACTTTTATGGATAAGGCGAGGAAAGTGATAAAAGAACAATTATGCTGACTGCAGGAGAGAGTCTATGATTAATCATCTTAAGATCCTGACCTGTAGCGAGAACTCTTCAAGCAGTTAAGCAATGTTCATATTCTTCAGGAAGAATTCACTGCTCATATTCGACGATCATGAAGACGCCCTTCAGAGAGTACAATGCTTTGATTTACTTACATACTTGCACTACGGCAAAGTCACCTTGTCTCTTCTTAGCCTCATAGCCCGAAGTCACAATTTAAAATTTGGTTAAAACTCTGGATGTCACTCAGACTTCTAGCTGTCTTTACAAGAGATCTTATTCGTAAGCATTTCGTTCCTCAAAATTTCAGCCATTTCATCATTCCCTTGCTTGACGTACCCATCAATGAAAGCACTATATATTTCCAAATTTGGTGCAAATCCTTTCCCCACCATTTCCACCTGAAATTTTCGAGCTTCTTCCATCAAACCCTCCTCACACAAGTTCCGTATCAGAAGTTCATATGTACTCTTCCTTGGTATGATATCATGTTTCTTTATTACAGCTCTCACAAATACCAAGGCCTCAAAAACTCCATTTTTGTTGCATAGCATCCGAGCAACATCATCTATCATTGAACTCTCTGGTTTGAATCCCTTTCGACACATATCCTTATACAAGACCAGAGCTGCATCAACATTCCCACTCATACAATGTCCATTTATCAGATGCTCAAGGGTAACACATGTACACTCCATCCCATCGAAAACCATCTCCCTGAAAACCTCCTCAGCTCTCTCAACGTCTCCAACTTTACAAAATCCCCCAATTATGGTATTATAAGCTACAATATCATGTTTCACGCCCTTATCACCCATCTCCTCCCAAACTTTCATGGCATTCTCCATCAGTCCATCCTCACAATAAGCGGCCATTAAAACACTATAACTATATGTATTCGGGACACATTTTTTTTCCATCATTTCCTTCCAAACCTCCTCAACCTTCTCCACTACTCCTTCTCTATGAAAAGCAACCATAAGAATGTTAAACGTATAAGCATTTGCGATTACACCCTTTACCTCTCTACCTTTAAAAATTTCCCTATACATATCATAAGCAGCAAAAGGGCCTCGACTTTTAGCAATCAACTCAATCAAAGAATTGCATATAACAACATGTGGAAAGATATTCTTTTTAGCTAAAATCCTCACAAGTTGAACAGAAAGGTCAAGTTTTTTAGAATCCAAATAAGCTCTAATCAACAAATCAAACACAAAGGGAGCTGAATCACAAGTCCTGTAAGTTTTAACCAAGATTTGGAAAATCCGAGGTGGGTTTGTTAAATCAGGTTGATGGGTGTCAGGGAATTTTCGAATGGCGGATTTTAGTAGCTCTAAAGCTTGAGATTTAAGGCGGGAACGGGAGAGGATGTGAATGATAGTGGCGTAGGAAGAAAGAGAGTGAGAGCAAATGGAGCGAGTGATCGTGAAATGAAAGAAACGGAGGGCGAGGTGAGGTGTGTTGCGGAGTTGAAGAATGATTTGAGAGACTTGGGAAGGAGTGAATCCGGGAGGGGGTGGAGATAGGGAAAGAATTTCGGACCATCTTGATTTTGAGCGATGGTGTTTGAGGATTGTTATGGCTGTTGAGACTAAAGTTTCGTCTTCGCTTGAAGATGGTTGAGGTGAGGTACAAGAGAAGAAGGAAGAGGAAGATGAGTGTTTGGTTAATGAGGTTGAGAAAATAATGCGTCTTGTAATAGTTGATATCATCGCCATTGATGGCTATTTGCTGTTCCTGTCCGGCATTTTGTCGAACAGCTTCTGTTCCAAATATAAGACATTAACAATCTGTACCGTGATGTCTATTGACCAACTGTGCCAAGAAGTTATGCTGGAAGGGCTTTTTTTAACGGCAAAGTGTGATAGACTCGCTATGTCATCATGCCACATAAGTGCCATTTGACATATATTAATGCCATGTGAAAGCTTACATAGGAGGAATGCTTGCATTTGTGAGAAGATTCTAGAGAAGTATGGACATTTCCTTTGGAAGATCCTAGATGTTTATGGATTTGCTAGGAAAGTCCTTGGAATTTTCTAGGCTTGTAGAGAATTCTAGAGAAAGCCCTTATCTTGTAAATATTAAGGACTTGTGTAACAATTAATATTTACACACTAGCCCCTAGGAGACTAGTATATAAAGGAGGTCATTCATTTGTAATTCATCAAGCAAACAATTCAAGTT